ACGCTGGGTTTAAACAATGTAAAATTCAAAAAAAAAAAAAAAAAAAAAAAAAAGGACTGCAGGCTTTGGTGTTTAGGATTTTTTGAAGCAACCCAAAAATGAGGTGGGTACCTAAGATATCTACGTTACATCCAAGACCCACCAGCAAAATAGTAAGCTTATTGTTCTCAAATAGATGACTTCTTCTTTATTTTGTCGATGGAGCAAGTGGAATATACATGGAGCCCGGGTCCTATCTAGAATTAATGATGGTGGTATGCCACTTGGAGTTGGCCTATATACATATATCTGATATAATTTGCAGTAAATAATTATTTGTTATTAGGAATAAATTGTATATTTTTTTGCGTCTGTCTAATGGGTACCTATTGAGTACTCGTTAAGATATATTTCGAATGTCATATTTTTGAAAATATAAGATTAATTAGAGAAAATAAATACAATGGAAGGTATGCAAGATTAAATAGGAAAAATATAGAAATGCAAGAGAAGGCAATAATTGTCAGTATGTGTATATACATGGTAGCTTAATTATGTGTATTTTTTTTTTAGGATGTGTTAACTAGTATTCAATGAGAAGTCGTTAGAGAGACGCATTGTTATTGCTTATTATTTCTAGTTATCTTCATAAGTGATTGTTAATGAGTTAGTTGTTCCCTCAATAGAAATAGGGATGTCGTAGGATGTCATAATTCTTTATGGTATAGGACCCAAAAAAAAATAAAATAAAAAAAAATAAAAAAGAGAGAAAAGGAGAGAGATTAGTTGAAAATTCAAATTTATCAAGAACCAACCAATCAAGCTACAAGTTTCCATCCAAATTTCATTTCCAGCTGCAGCCTGGTTTTCTTTAATGCTGCTTGGATGTCCCATATAAGTATGTGACCAGACGTGATTTTGAAGAATCCTCAATCATTGTGAGATAACCACAGCACAATACAAGTCTCAGGTTTCTCTCCCGTCAAGTCTTAGCATTTTACGACTGAATCAATTAAGGCAAGTCTAGTGATAGATAGATATATGCATTGAAATTGACTTAGCCCTTCTTATCTTGGCCAGAAAGACCACAAAAAACTTTGATCATCCCTAATTTCCAAATAGTTAATATTAGGTAGATTGATTGTTACAATTTACATATTAATTTTTTACATTATGATGTTTCTTCTTCTTCTTCTTCTTTTTTTCCTCCTTTAACTCTAATAATTGTTGTAGACCAATTGATGGTGAAGTTGAATGCTAATTTTTGAATGCAGTGGCGGATTTAAGGTAGGGGCACTGGGGCCACGGGCCCCACTTCCCCCTTAAATTCCTATAATACCTATATAATTTTGATACAATTTCAAGTGTACTCCCAGAGGTTTTTTTACGAAGGAAATGAAAGAATTACGTGATTCTCTAAGTTAGTTCATGATTCATGAACTAATATTTTAAAAGGATATATAGGCCACAAAGTTCCATTTGAAATAAGCTAAAAAAAAAAATTTTCATTTCAACTTGTTGGTGAATTATTTTTTTTACTTGAAAAACTAAAAAAAGAGTAGGTAAAAAATTTTCAGTGTGTTGTTTTTACCCCACTGAAATTTTTTCTGGCTCCGGCTGTTTGAATGTGTGTAAGTTGAAACTTTACTGCTGCAGTTGAATGCTGAATTGCTAATTCCAGCGTATGGTACACCATGTTGGTTTACTTAAAAGATTGATATGGTAACCAAGAATTGGAAGTTAAATGCTACATTTCAGTAGTCTCACCAGAATTTGTCAAGTGAAAAAGCACTGAAAGTTGCAAATCAACAAAACATTTTCTAAACCCAACACTTCGAGGAATTATTAGGCTCCATTTGGGATTATGGTGCGTTTGTTATATATATATTATAGACGCTTTTAAGTACTAATAAAGACTTGTTAACAGATGATGTGAATCATCCTAATAGATAGATCGATAATGGATTGCAACATTGACCGAGCTCGAATTTGAGAGTCGTGCGTGTCAATACAAGTCGATAAATGGTCAATCATCCCGAAAAAGATTCCTTTCTTTTACTGTAGATAGCAAGTGGATGAATAAATATGTAGCCCTAGGACCATGTTAAAAGCTCTGGAAAATGATCGTCCTTGGACCAAGTTAGTTTTTTCCAACTCTCCATTCAAATCTGAGTTTTCAGCAGCATGATCAAAAACATGAGCCAATGAGGAACCGATGTTCGATTTTTCGAGATACCCTACATAACTAATGTAAGAGTACTGGAAATCCTCAAAAATTTTCCTCTCATTTCCAGCAGAAGTGTTAATAATTTAGACTCGGTCAGTTTTTAAAACTTCAAAGGTTGAGAATTTACTAGCTCAATTTATTCATATTTTAGCTTCATTGTCAGCAATATGAACAAGCCAAATGGCTATTCTTTTATCCGGAAAGAAGGATTCTGATAAAATGTGTTGCTTTCATGAACAAAAAATAGTGTATATTCGAAACGTAGTCAGGATCTGGATCGACATTGTTGTTCTGATAAGATTTGGAGTGACAAAGTTGTTCAATTCCTATAGGATTATAAGTACTAAACTTTCCATCTTTTACGATGAATGTAGCAACTGTCAAAATTTTAGCGCCCAATGTGACAAAACTCATGCCCGATACACACAAGAAGAGACCAATACAATGGTAATGGCAAGGGCCGTTGTTCATAATACAAGCAATTGAGATTTTCTTCCAACATCACTTCTTTAAATTTCGATCTTCCTAAACTTGAGGAGCTGAAGATTCAGAAACTTCTCCACAAATTTTCACGTTAGTTTAAAAGGGGTGACAGCACTTTCTTCCCTTCACCAATCACCTCGATGGTTGCATGAGCAACAATGAATGACCACATTGGACCAACTTCTCATCGTAACCTAGTGTTTTATTTCTGTGAAGGAAGTATTTTCATTATTTGGTCGCTGTGAAGTCGGTCAAGATTGGAAGGAGGAACATGTGCAAATAGACAAAGCATGCTTTGAGTCCCAATCCACATCCCATCACCTTATGCAATTCTCCATCAGCATGGTAATAATTTTGGCGTGGATCATGAACTATGAGCAGCAATGGCCCCTAATAATGCTGAACATTTACTGCATCCTTTGCCAAGTTGCATCACTGCTGGTACAGGGAACACGACGTTCTGTCATCATTTCATTGGTCCCATATGTCTTGGACCTAACCACGATCATGTCAACTTCACTGATTTACCATTTCAAGTGCCATGGTGAATTTGCAGAAAGGACTGCTCAAGTCTTGAAGGTTAGAAGACCATGTATGTTATCCATGATTGAACAAATCTACTAAGAAATTGTAAACCTGCCATCTGCAGGGTGGAGCTGCAGAAATTGTGGGAATTTAGCTGCTGCTGCAAACAGCAAGAGGTTCCATCCATACTGACTTGGTTCCAGAGTGAATGAATGTCTTGTCTCTTATGTCTAGACTGTTTAGGCGCTTATGATTCGCGTGCAATCTTGAATTATTCACATGTTTTTGCTTCTTAATATTTACAAGAAGTTATTAAGCCTTCGTCTAAGTTCCAAGAATCTATGGTATTTTCATTGTGTGGAAAAGAGATAATAATTGAGCGTTCGACAAGCCATACCTCCCAACAAGACAGGAACTGTATTCTGTCTTTGCTGATACCAAGCAAAATATCACATCATGTAAATATTGGGCCAATTATTTACTACTTTTGCCATGTAACGAACCGAAAATGAAATCACTAGGATAAGAAAAAAATTTTTCTCAAGGTAGTGCTTTTGGTTTGTACTACAAACGATATGCATCCAATTGAGGGACCCCAGAAAGAGATTATTGTGCCATTTGCTGCTGCCTCGACTAGGAAAAAGCATTACACATTAAACAACACCTAAAAGTCGGCAAATAAAATTGCCATGGAAACCGGTGGACAACCCCAAAGGCACGAGTTTCAACAGCCTTCGGCCTGTATACTTTCATGAAAGTAAGCTGTGAGCTAAAGAAATAATAACTACAACAGCAATCAATGAAAAGTGAGAATTCAAGAATGTTTCTGATTGCCTTACTTCGAAGTGAGGAGCTACAAAAGTACAAAGTTGAGTGAAACAGAAGTTCTCAATGAGCGACTGGCTCTACTCAAAATATTGGCCGCAGACATTACAAAATTGATTGTGTTTGTACAAAATGTCAAGAGTGAAAGGGATCAATGTTTCTACCAAAAAATAAAAAGGCAGAGAGGGAATATCACGTTCTAAATTTGTATTGGTGTGTGGAAGGATAATATATTGTAGCATTGCTCTCCATAGTTTATCTCCTTAGCTAAGCCTTTTTGTTTGGGACAGTTTCTCCGGTGCGATCTAGTGACTGAGAGTGCCTTGGCGATGTTTTTGTGCCACAACTCTCAAACTCGATTTTTTACCAACAGCTGGTGAAAAACGAACTACATTTGAAGTCTGTCCTTTAACGGCAGCTCACGAAAGGGCAGCAAGGGGAAAAAGGAGTAGGTGTTTTCATCTCAACTTCCCCTGCTTCCAAATTGAAAGTGACTGCTGCAGCTTGGACGGAGCCTGAGAAACACATAACACGGTCAGTGATCTGGATCAATTCTGTCCGTGATGAACAACAACATTGAAATAAGCTTAAGCGGTATTCGAGAATATCACAATGACATGAAAACTGATTTCCGTATCTCCCAATTGAAGTAACAAAAACTGTTCGATATGACTGATACCTGCTCGAGCTCGTACATCCAATCATTTGCAATTCATGTAATTTTAAGATCACCGAATTGTAGTTGACATAAATCGTTGGATCACCAAAAAATTCAAAACTTGGGGAAAAAATAGAAATGCAAATGCAATGTGTTCAAATGGAAGAGGAACAGGGAATTTTTTGTTTCTGTATTTCACAAGCTTCAGGAACATGCTAAGCAATGTATGAATAAACCCTACTTTGAGCATGAATATTACTCGATTCAAAGTAATCCAAGAATGTGATGCAAGGGTTATTAAACTCACAGCAGAAAGAAGCCAGAAACACCAAATGACAGGGAAGCAGCAGCAAATGGAGATTTTCCAGCTCCTTTTCCTTTCTGGTCATTTTTGTGAATCCTGATCCCCAACTGTACCAAAACTGGAAGAAGTTATATCTTCTTCGTTGTCCACCTCCTCCTCATCTTCCTCGTCCTCTTCCTCTTGTTTGGGTTTAATTGTCTCAACTTCTGTTGGTTCAGATGGTAAAATATCATCATCATCTTGCAACCTAATTCAACTTTTTTCTCCTCCTCTTTCTGCATCCGCTTCAATTCCTCATCCATATTTCAATGGCTTCTTTCAGACATATCTCAGCTTCTTTTAATTCAATCTCTTGTTGTAGTAGCTCAATTTTAGCTTCACTAGCTTTCTTCTGCTCCTCAGTCCATTTCTCCAGTTTGTCAAAAATTGTTTACATGCATTCTCTATGGAGGTAATAAGACGCATAAAAAAGGATTCTTTTTGACATTGACTTCTCGTCCATAGAACTCGTCAAATCCAAGGGGTAGGAATTCAGCCTTTTCTGGGTCAACATCTTCTCCTTCTTTGAGAGGAGGTTGCCAAAAAGTCGAATACCATGTTCCTCATTCATCAATATAGTTGATAATCCTCCCAGTTGGTGTATGCAGGATAAGGGATCTTCAGTATATATGAGTTTTGACGGATCCTCAGGATCAGGCTCAGGTTCTTTTGTTAATCAAAATAAATTCTGGCTTCTCATCTAAGTGAAAGAAAATACATTAACTAGCAAACCAGATGGACGGTTAACTCAGTAAGGAGACAAACTAGTGAACTGAACATAATCTGTATAGAAGAAAAACTAATATCCGTGCAGTGAAAATATTCATTCGCCTCGATTAATTCAACAAGTATTTCCAAACTCCAAATCCAACAATACCTTTCCAATTCCTCCACAAAAAATCAGCTATATTATTTTATAGCAAAAACCAAGCCTCGCATTAAAATAATGCAGAAAGCAAAATTATAACTTGCTAGTTTTCCACATTTTGTTACTTAGCTTATTTTCTAACTAACATCATAAATGAAAAGAATTTCATTCTTATATCATAAGAAAGTTACACAGACGCTAATTGGGCTGATCAAAATTATATACCAGACAAATCTAGAACAGCTTAGAGAGTATCGAACTGCTAGCCAGTCCAGACATTAGGTAAATTCCAGTTATTTCGATCTCCTCTCATTTCTCAAGTAACTGATGGGGAACCTTACTTGAATTTAGATAATTACATCGTGTTATCCAATTCTATGCTTGACAACTTCTCCCCATTTTGTTACTCTGCTTGTTTTTCATCCTTACTGCTATAGCAAGACTTAATTAGATAAGTAAATGACAACTTGTGACTCAGGGATCTATTCTGCTCAAGTGCAACTGATTCACTGGTAAACTAGTGACCTGAGATGAATCAGTTTTCTGGTTCTATGAACATGTTGAAAATATTAAGTACCGGACTCACCTTTCAGGCAAGTCCACACATATCACACATGGTTCTTCAACATTCTCAGAAACAAAAATAGGGCTAAAACAAAGAACTCACCACCAATCAATACTAAGATAAAATGTAAATATGGAATCAACATTTGTAGACCAGATAATAAATGTTTATCTGTTTTCAGAAACAAGCTCAGAGAATGAAATTGGAAACTGAAATAGTCAATGATTTTGCACAGTTAGAGCCTGTGCAGCATCATACTCATTTACAGAGAAAAGTGAATGTGTTTAAATATGAGATTATTTCAAAAAAATTATTTGGAATAATAATGCGGTACTTTTTGTGACATGATGCATGTGAGATAAAAGAAATGGTTGAAAGTTGTATTTATGATGCAAGCAGCATAAGATTTGCAAATTTTTCCCCAAATTATGCTATCTAAATGGACCCAATCTACTCAAAAGGGGATTGGAAAAGTCATACCCTTGGACCACAATATTCAAGTTCAGCAGGCATAGGCAACCTCAGTGGCGCTTTATAGAATGAGTTCAGCCACATTTCCCTCTCTTCATCCACCTCATGCACATACATTTTCCAATAATCAGGAACCTGCCATCCAAAGGCAAATTTTAATTTTCTGGAAAGCTCTAGTACTGAATATTTGACTACTGATATGCATCATCCAGCTCACTTCATAAAACTGATTGATGAAGCCTGGTGCCATCCACACTCATCTTTTCATATAAATAGGGATGTTGAGGATCACTATATGGACCTCTCCTTCTCTAACCACTACAAAGGCAAAGCGAAGCATAAACTGTATAAGTAAAAAGCAAAAAGAAAAATGAAGGTCAATGATGATATATTAAAATGGTTATCAGTAAACAAATGTATATAAGGTCAAAGCAGCTTTAAGAGAAAATAAAGGCAATTCACAAAATTTCCACTGTGTTGAATATTTATACTAGTATTGCTCATGATGGGTTAGTTAGCATTCAATTAGACGGGTTGGTTAGCATTTCATATCCGATCAACACCACTTCTCCTCTAGAACATTTCAAGCACAAAAGTAATCTTCCAAAATTAGCCATATCACCTCCATACTGCAAAAAAAAAAAAAAAAAAAAAAAGGAGGACCAATAATGAAGGAAGCAAGAAGTACAACATACTTCCGTCAGGTTTATTGACAAACATCCTCGCTTTAGCCGCTGCTACTTCTGCTATGGCTGCATGCATCTGAAATATCATGGTGTAAGCAACATACAAACACCTGGAGTTAATATGTCGAGCAGATATGCATGTATATACATAAAAACTCACAGCTGATATATTGGTGTCACAACCATAAGTACCCTCCAATAGTTCTCCAAAATAAAAACGGCCCTGAAGTGAAGTTCACTGTCTATCAATAGATAATAAAGGTAAGATATGACAGTAGACACGAACATTCATAGTACACTGTCTTTACATGTTTACTACAATGATCAGAGAACTCAATACTTGAATATCAAGCACAATTACGTGCTGAAATATGCCTATTTGCATATGCAATTCAAAGAGAGAAACTCATAATTTATTGCGCACGCACAGACAGACACCCTCAGACAAACACAAAGATAATAACTTTCATGTAATTTTTCTAAGAATGCAATTGCTTAGTTTAAGAGATGCAAGAGATTAAGTGCCATGAAAAAAAAAAGGAATAGAAGAACAGTCAAGTTCACGAAGAACCACATTCATGTACTTACAAATATTGTACGCTCATTAACTTCATATACACCGCAACCATGCATTCTACCATGTTTCCATTGACCAGCATAGCGGTACCGACCTTTCTCCCTGGGATCAAGATGAATCAATGTGATAACTTCCTCAGACACGAGAAGCCAACTCATACTACGTAAAAAATTAAACTTTGGCTGCCAGGTTGTATTTTTTTCTGCTCTATGGAAAAGAAAGAGTTACATTACCATAAACTGACTCTTTATTGAAATTGCACAACCAAACCAAAGAAAGAAAAACTCACGGTTTTGCTCCAAATTGTTTAACCCAATCATCTCTCTCATAAAAGGGATTTCATAATTTCCACCAATTAATTTCATAGTATCCTCAACATCCATTTCAAACCATTTTTTGTCTTCTGGAGACATATAATCTCTTTTTATTATTTTCCCTTGTGCTCGCATCTTTGCTTCAAGCCTGCGAAACAGACAAGGCAGAACTGAAGACGGAATAAATGGCTACTTGCGCTCTGGTCGCAGCTTATAATAGAACTAGATAGGACTGAATTAGGAGCTTTAGAGAAACATGAGCATACCTGGACCCTGGCACAGGTTCTATACCAGGTATCTCAACTTCAACAACACCATGACCTTCCATGTTGTTCTGAAGCCATTCACCTTCATACCTGTAAGCAGAAACAGAAAATGTCTAAAAGATTTTCAAAGCATTACCCCATCCATCAAGCAAAGTGGACCATAAGAAGCAGAGTTACTATGGGATAAAGGTGTTACAATTACAACTAACAACAAAACCTGACTAGCTCATCCTCAGCAATGTAAACACCTTTGCCATGTGCTAAGTCATCCCATACAGTGCCTTCATACCTTGAATTAACAAAGAGGTCAGCATGGGCGAAATTTTTGGAGGAAATTAATTTAAAATAACAAACTGGCTTATAAATTTTCGTCAAATTGTCTCTGGTCTCTGCATGTCAAAGCTTCTATGTCACTTCAAGTACAAAAGAAGAGACAAGAAAGAATAATTTCTAATCTTCCACATAGCATTACTTGATGTAATCTCCGCTTCACAAAGAAATATCACTCTCCAAGCTATATTCAAGCTAAAAGCCCAGAGCTTGTGGTCAATACTTAGGGTTAATAATAATTTGTCGTACAATTATTAAATAGTTCAGTTCGGTAAATCTTTAGATTGAGCACTGCTTGTGATGAGGAATTTTATAGTCTATTATCAAGGTTTTCCGCAAATTTTCATCAAACTCAGCTTTTTTCCTTTTTTTTATTTTTTAATTTTTAACGTGGTACTAAGCAGTAAGGAAAAAAAGGGGAAACTCTATAACACAAGTGATTTGGACCACCAGTAATTAATTAAGCGACGATTTCATTGAAGCTCACATGTTCTGAGCTCTGAATGCTGTAAAAGTTGCATCACCCTAGCATATGAACATAAAGCTTGGGGACAAGATAAATGCTTAAGCATATGAGGTGGTACTCAGTACTCAAGACCACACTCAGTTCAGTAGTTCCAACTTTCTTTAGTTCCCTGAACTACATGTAAACAAGCAATGGAAAACATGTTGCTTCAGCACTCCGTGATATCAAAATTCCAATAGATCCATCTTCTACCTTCTACCATAATGTACCAAATTAGCAGAAGTGATGGTGAACATAAAATCAAATGAAGAGTATGATCGATAAGTACTAAAATGCTGCCCAGCTGCCCATTCCAATTTCATGTCCTACTCTACTCACACGTCCTATACGTTAGGCCTATCACCATGAAGCCAAAAAACCATGATCGTCTCAGGTAAAGAATACACAACTAATGCTTTACAAAGCCCAACTATATTCAACAATCAGAAAATACCCAAAGGAAACTTTACTTTCTTATGGAAATATCCAACAAATCCAATATCAAGAACATTTATAAAAATCAAACTTTCTATTACTAAGTTAATCAAAAACCAAGAAACGAAACAAGCAAGATATTACTAAAAGACTTCAAAAACCTTTTATCATTACTTAACGACTGCTACTAGTACTACTTACGAGCTGCCATCGGGGAAAATGTAGCTAACCCAAGTCAAGAAACTCCTCAATTCTATCAAGCTCTTCAATAGCGGCCTTGGGATTGGAAATATCATAATGGTCATCAGGTATCACAGGAAAATGCTTCCTATAAGGCACGTAAAAGGGCGCAATTGGCGGGTCTCTTCCTCGCTCACCATGTCCTTAATAGTTTCAATCTCATCTTCATCAGCCAATTGGGGTCCCACCCCGGTTTGGTCATTTCCACAGGAGCATCAGCCAAAGCTCCTTCAAGTCTTCCTCAGTCCAATTTTCTTTATCCTTGGGAAAATCGAAGAGGTCTTCGTGGTACACTATGTCTTCTTCCTCCTCTTTTTGCTGTCTTCTTAACCTCTTCGAATTCAAGACTTTATGAACCTCTTAATGTTAGCTTCCGGAGTGTTGTTTTCTTCATCGTCTAAGTCTAAGTCGGCCTCCCCGGGCGGGTGTATATTTCGGGTTCGGACTCGGAGTCCGAGTCAGAGGAGGATTCTTCCTCGGGTTCTTCTTCCTCTTCTGGCTCTTCTTCTGGGAATACGTCATCTGGGTTCGTGTCATTTCCGGGCTCTTGTGCTGAGTTTGGGTCGGGCATTGCTGCTGCTGCTGCTGCAAGAACTGAAGAAGATAAGGTGCAGACTGCAGAGTGAACAAACATACGGCGTATTATATACAGGCGGGATAATGGAATGCGAAGGTTGTGGAGGGTGATTTAGTAATTTTATAATGCGGATTTGAAAAAGAAACATGGAAATAAAAAGATGGCAATAATATGTTTTCCTATTATTCGAGAGAACTTTTGAGATTTTTTGGTCTATTCTTTTTTAGCTGACATAAGTCAATTTCAAAAAAATTGTTCTAGTATTATAATATTTTAAAGTGCTTCTAAAGATGCAATTCAAATAAAGCAATGTTTTCCTCTTTTAATCATAGAGAATTAACCTTCTTCTTAATTCATATAAATAAATTAAATTAAGATTTTTTTGTTTGCGTATGTTAAGTGTTTGTACAAGTTTAATTAAGTAATTTCTTTTTAAATTAATCTTTTATACACTGACAATATATACACTTTTACCATTGCATGCATGATACATAATCTAAATTTAAATTTGAAATCTAAATTTTGCACATGTGTCGTGCATCCAATCGTGTGATAGTGTATATATTGTCAGTGTATATAAGATTTACTCTTTCTTTTTTTTTTGATATGTATCCTTCATATTTGAATTTGACACGCTTTAATTAGACTGAAATTTTCTTTCTTTTTTATTTTCTTGGAAATTATTAAATTAAAAACTATCTATGTACTAAATCTGACCCTTTTCGCTTGTTAAATAAATTCCATGCTTCTCTTGCTAAAATAATAATAACAATAATAATGGATCATGGACGAAGCATCTAACCAAACTTCCAAAGAAATGTATTTGGTGCTTTCTTGGTTCAAGATTCCTCATCTTTATTATCAGTTTTATGCGTGTCTGCATGCAAGTATTCATTCATTCGTGTTCTATTAAGAGAAGTCGTCCTGTCATAAGTAACAGAAAAACATTTTTTTTTAGGGTTAAAAAACAACATAAAAATACATGTGCAGAAAAAAGAATGATACGGATCCTGTTCTCCAAGCAGTCCTTATTGACAAGAATCTACAACAACCAATTGAATCGATTAGATCAAAAAAAGGACCTTCCGTTGTCAATAAACTTTGCTCCGGTCATAATTCTAGTCCAGTTACGCTTTTTTAATCAGTTTGTGAATCAAATTACTTTACATCGTACAAAGTTATCTTCAATCACTGGAGTCGGTTCAATGGTCAGGACATAGTTTTTAAAGTCTTTATCACTATCAAATTTAAAGATTTGAATTCTATGTCTAACAGTTGAACGTGGAAGAATAGGGGAAAAAAAAAAAAGAGTACATTGGTACTTATGCATCCATCATTCGAGTGTGTCGTTGTCACAAAATTATTCTTCTCCTCTTAATTGTTGTTAAGACATGTTAACGGTACAACAGTGTCGCAAAACAAATCTACTTTAAGAGTTGAAAAGTTTCTCTAGGAAATCCCGTAAATGTAAGCTATTAATTACCGAAAACATTGGGCAATTTTATGAGTCAAATTAAAAAGAAGCATCAACGACATAAATAGGGATAAAAGCTGGGATTTTCGCACATTGGCTCTGAGTGAAATTTCTGATTTTTAAAAAATAAATTTATCATGTTAAAAATCTACACATTTCTCTTCTTCGTTCCATTGCTAACCTTTACTTCTAAATCCAAATGCTCTCCTGGTTCTGTCTGATTCTTGAAAACAAATTCTACGATTACAAGATGTTACGACAACGACACAAAATAGAGACCCCGCATAAATCTGGTCACCTGAAACTGCCATAAATGCCAAGTTCTCTAGTCGTCTCTGCAAGAATTTCAGTACGATGACAAGAAAATCACACATGCTTATAGGACCTTGAAGAACATATATATATATATATAGATTTCTAATAGTCTAAAATCACCATGCCAAAGCCCAGCTATATGGTATTGATTTCTTGAAAGTTTAATCCTTCCTTCAGTTTATATGGTTGGTGAATAACGTGATATATGCTCCTTCAAGACTTGTGATTTGCAATTCTGAGAGGACAGATGATCCACAGATGGACATATTTAACATTTATTACCTGGTAAAGGTCGGTGGGCAACCAGTTGCTGTGATCCTGGATTTCCACCTTCAAAAACACTACTGCCACGAAAACATTCTCAAATAAACAACTGCAGCAGCAAGTAAAAAGCACATATTGTAGTGAATCGATCAGTAAACTCAACAGGTGTGAGAAGCGGAAAGTGTAGAGCATAGAGGTTTTTCTTGGGACGCGCAGGTCGACTGATGAAAGACTGAATTGGTTAACCATGAAAACCTGTTCAAAGAATCAAAGTTGGATCGGTGTCGGTTAAACATATGTTCAGCTAATGCTATCCAATCCATGGGAAGGCAAAAATGAGGTTAATCCAAAAGGTAAGACTCCTCTAATCCTTGCAATTTAATTTACTCAAACCTGTATCCTGCAAGCTGGTGATCAAGACTACAAGTCCTAATTGTGCAATGCAAAAACTGGATGTACTTCTTGTAATCGCGCATTCATCACTGCCAAGTGCCAACAACATCATTCTCCAGGTTTTGACCTACAAGTTTGTGACAAAACCTACAAGTTAGCTACGACAAAACTATTACCTCCATAATTATACTTGTGCTGACAAATGTTTGGTGAAGATATGATGCTCATCATTGCATCGTACATGCATTTCCTTGGGTTTACCCTCCTAAGATGGACCTCCAGACTGCAACACATGGAACAATATTGTTATATATATTCAGATCTTTTACGCCTGAGGTTACGCTCCAGTTTCGTGTGCATGAAACTCTAATAAGCTTTTCAATTGCAATAACTGATGCAAAATTTTATCATCAATCGTTTATTCCCAACAACACTTTTGGGTTTTCAACTGCCTCTGTATCGATCATTTGTCCCGCTGCAAGTCAACAGAGGTGCAGTAATTAACATCAACTTCGACAAGACAATGGCATACAAGCGAACAGTAATGTCAATACATTTCTCATAAAAATGGTTAAAAGTTCCATCGAGATCAAGGAGTTCATAAGATTGCGGAATCGGGGAGAAATCTGATAAAACATAGTATTAAAACGAAGTGGCTCGCTAGCGGCATAAGGGCTCCTCGTTTTTGTAGCTTTTAATCGGGAGTTTATCCTATTAAGTTATTATACCTGCGGGGTACAGAAGCAAAGGCACGTTAGAGGTGCCCCAAGAAACCACTGGACGCAGATTGCATCGCCCCCATACTAGCAAAAGTTGCCAGTAAAAACTTCAGGAAAGTTTGAATTAGGCTGACCTATTTAGATGGCATCGCTCCCTAGACCCAAATCAACCAAATCCATTTGGGTTGCAGTAGTCATGACTCATGAGTCCTAAGCGTTAATAATTTTGGTTAATCTTGGTGAAAGTTTGAATTAGGCTAAACCATGCCAAACAAGCCAAAAAAAGGTTAAAAAAGAAGGACTTGCACGCATAATTCTCAAACTCATCACAGAGTTTCATCCTGATCCAGATTGCCAATCTTCATTATTGCATCCGAATGTTCTCGTGGTTATGTCAAGTTCTCGTTTTGAAACCAAATGGTACAACATGCTATAGCAACTCATCAAAATGAAAAAGGAGAGAGATGGAGAGTACAACAAAGATACAAGATCCAAAGGGAGGAGTCATGATCCACGCTTCATCATCCCACTCCAATTAGCCCAGTGCACAAACAGCAGCCCGCCATATATATTGCTGGCAAATCGCATGCCCACTGCAAAAGCCAGTGCAGCAAGTGGAACCTGCTTTGCTAGGGGTGATGCTTGAACCAATCGATCCAATCCCTTGACAATCTGAGAGCGGGAACCAGAAGAAAGTGGAAGGAGAACACCTGGTGACCAATGAGAATACTGAATTAAAGCATACGAATGCAGAGCAGCAACTCTTTGCAGGAGCAATTCAGAATGTGTCCTTTTCGGCTCGGAGTTTTATTCACAATGGTAGTCAATTGTGTGACATCACATGGTTGGTTGGATTAAACCAGAAAATCACATTTACCAAGCACCTAAAAAGTTCGATTTTTCATGCATCTAGATGGCCATCAATGAAAAATTTAGGAAAGGGAAACCGTTAACTAACAAGAAACACTGACAAGTAATAGAGAAGAATCACAGATATATGGGAGATTGAACTGCTCTGTTTGGGTTATAAATGACTAAATCATCATCAGAGATAAATATGCAGAGAAATGAATTTCTTAGGTTGAGTAGTAAGAGGTACCCTACCCCAGAGGGCAGCATTTTTAACTACGTAGGAAACAGGAATGCCCTCTTCTGACTTCTTGGTGTTCCTGCAACATCAAAGTAGAAATACCGCATAAATCTGTTGCAATTTGGAACAGCCATAATGCCCAAATTTCTAGTCATCTCACAGTCAGTTATATAACTTCTTAACAACTCAATTCTTCAGTTTGCCAGCTGCTTAAAGGGAAAGCATGGAGGTGGATATGAAGGTATTCTTTTAATAAATTCCTGACTGAGGAAAATGTGATTACATTGTAACAGCTTATTGGGTCCTCAAAACTTTGCTCCTTTAAGTTTATCGTTCAAAATCCAGATTCTAAGAGCAAGATGAATTATTTAGGTTCATTTAGGTTCTGCTAATGGCACTGAACAAGCTGAATTATTTGCGACATGAACCAAGTTCTTACTGTTTAGATTTTGAGTAAGAACCTCAGAATGAGTTCCAACGATGATGATAGTTTCTTTAACTCAGTATCCCCATACATAACAGTATAACAAGACCATCAAAAGCTTAAAACCACTTTGTTTCTTAGTGTAATATTAAGTGGTAAGAAGAGGTTGTCCAATTAGAATCTTTACCTATTACCAGTCATGACAAAATTAATTATGTTGTGACAAGTAAGCCCACAACCAAGTCCAACAGCGCCAAACAAGATACCCTGTATTAAGCATGAGAATTATGTAGTCAATGAAACAGAAATAGTAAACAAGAATCACACCCTGAGACTCCCATTAGGTATCACACAAGA